TCGAACCAATAATAAATTAAAACAAATCACAATTGACGTACATAAATATAACGAAAAAAAAATGTAATAATATAACGCTTAACCGTCCTTTAGAACCGTATTTATCCATTTGTGGTTCGACTTGACTCGATCGTAAAGCCTTGGTCTCATCATGCCGTCTGCTGAACATGCAATGCGCCAGTTAGTGACACCCACCAATACCCAGCTCTTCTTATTAGCCGATAGGCACATCATTGGACTTCCAGCAAATTCCTCTTCTGTACAATCGTTATGGTCGTATATCGAATCGTAGCACAGCCCATTCACCGTCGTGATGCTGATGTTGGTACAGCTGTCCATCGAACTTTCTTTAACCTCGATCCGCTGAAGGCTGTCTCCTATAAAATTCAAATAAGCATATCCAATAACATCGATAAATGTTACTACGATAGGAATAGTATCATATTGTAATCATTTATTTAGATTATTTTACAATATTATATGGAAAAAAAACTAACGGTTTTTCGCCCATCCCAACGTCTGGCAGTGTAGATACGGGACATCGCTCGTCTGCTCGTCGTTCAGGCACACCGGCCGAATGTGATCGGAATACGTGACCGGTGAACTTAATTTGACCAAAACCAACGTGCTTCCTTCCACGGGTGACTTGACCATTCCGACAATATGCCGTTCTTGTTGCCAAGGCGACACGGCGTTCAACCTCACCGCTCCTAAGCGCGCCACCCATTCGGCTTTGCTTTGCCTAAATAACCACACACAAAGGTTTTATACATAGTTTATATAGTTTATTCTACATACAAAATTATCGGTGATACGCGACTGCGRACGGTACTTATAAGAGCGACCTTTTTAATAACACGGTTGTGAACGTAAATGGTAAATAGTTTAATTATGAGTCCTGGGCATGTGGGAATTCTTAGCATATTAAAATTATTTTTATTAAATTAATTATTCAGAGTTATAATGATTAYAGAAACTTTTATTCAAAKATTATTAATTATGTATTGTTTATGCATATAATAACAATAACTAGTGAGTCGCTAGTAATACCTTTAATTATAATTTTTAAAACGCAATTGATGTATCATCTGCAGCGGGATTCCATATATTTTATTAGGTACCTATTATATGTACAAAAAAATATAATTCAATAATTACCCTTGGAAGCACGAAGCACTGGTGAGTAACCATTCGGAAGATATGAGACTACCGTCGCAAACATGAGTTCCACTTTTGTAGAGAACTGCGTGCCACGGCCAGTCCCCGTGGGAAGCCATTTTGTTCAAACCATCGATACCGTGTTTCTGTCTCCTGTTTGTCTGTATTCCGCAAACTATATAAAAATATACAAGTGTTATTGAAAAAAAAAAACTTAAATACGRAGGATTTCAGATGACATAAGAGAGTATATACGAGTAAATATCACGTATGTATATTATATAGGACTATTATTGCTWACCTGCGTCGTTGCACGCGACTCGCAGAACTTTTCTACTGGGACACGTGCCCAGGTTAAAAGTTATCTCGCTGGCGAATGGATCCACGACGTGCGCATATCGTGCAGAAGAACCGGAAGTCGTTGTTTGCAAGTCTTCATCGTCGACAATTTCGACACTTGTCAGATTGCTATAAAAAATATATGGCTGTTGTTGTACGCGAATGATATTATAGTAATAATAGCAGTACACTGTTATATTGGACAGAATAACGTTGTATATAGATATATTAAACAGTTGGATTTGGTTAATTCGAAATTTTACCCAGTCCCTAGAATTTTCTATTATCGCATTGTCCTTGGATAACTTGAACTTTTTGGCCAGATCCCTTTATGTATTACGTCTCTATTGATTTATGTGTAAATGACTTACATAAGTGGGACATATTTTTATTTTTATTATTATTTTTTTTTTTTTGATATATTACTTATTTATAATTAATTGTGTTTTTACGGATTGGCACCTCTGCAGCTGCAGGGATTTATTATTTTAGGAAATGCTGCCGGTGTTGAGAAGGTGTGTGACTTACCGGTAGTTTAACGTACGACAGAGTGACGTTGCGATTGTTTGGAGCGCTACGGACATCTTTTCGTTTGGAATGTCCGTTTGAAAATTAGCTGCACACAACTTGCCCGACATTCCTTGTTCGACGAAAAACACGAAACCTTCAGTCGGATACGAGTCGATAGTGGCCAATGGCAGCATTTGGTCTACAGACCTGCCAGTTGACGAGATCARTACTAAATGCAAAATAAAATATACTTGTATTTTTCATAATATAATAATATACATAATCGCGCATATAATATTTCCACAGTTCATAAGAAATAAATAATTAAATGGCCATTCACTAAATAATAAATATTCGTGAKTACTTATGATGAATGTGCATTATATAGTTACTAGTTAGTAAGGTATTCGTAATTCGTATTGTATTTACTTTACACCTTCCCACTTAAAACATTTTTTTAATTATTTAACTTTATAGAATTGTACGTTTGACCTGTGTTTATTTTGCCATTCGTATTCG